TTCCTTTTACTTTCATAGATTGAATCATTGCATCCCAGAAATCTTCTGCAGTAGGTTCATCTGCTTGACCTTCTCTTGCCAAACCATCAAAGTTATGGGAATCTGATCCCATGAAAGAGCTTGTCTTCATAGATGAATCCTCATCTTTTGATGCTTTTGTTGGAAAAGTAGAGAAGAATTGGTTCTTCATATGATCCAAAATTCTAACCATGATTTCATCTTCTGATTCATGGGGATATTTCCTCTGAAAGAAGTTCTTCAAGTTTTCCATAGACATTTGTTGGGAGCTTTGCTCCTTGACCTTATTATTCTGGTCTTCAGCTATAGCTTCTTGAATTAATTTTATTTTATTCTGCACATCCTCTGAACTCATCTTGTTCCACCATTTATAGAAGAAATTTCTTTCTAAAATGGGAATGTTGAATTTGTTTGATATGGTGATTGACCATCTCTATATCCATGGAATCTGAAATTTAGTAAAGAACAAGAATGGACATTGTCCAGTGATCAAATTATCAGATAAATTTTTTACAATAAGTGGACTATTATCACACCATGGATTGTATAAGTTAAGAATTTCTTTAGGAAGAATCTCCAAAGATGGACCAAATTTATCCCACCATTCATAAAACCAATTTGGTATGGGTTTATTAACCATCTCATGATTAATAGGGAAAAACCAAAAATGCTTGTTCTTGGGATTTTGGTAATAAAAACCTTGAGTGAAAGCTTGGACATAGTCCTAATAATTAAAGTAAATATATTTTCTTTCTGCAATTATTATTGCCTTTTCAGCATTTGGATTGAGACCCCATTCTCTTGGTAACAAAATTTTGTTAATGTGACATTTACTGAAGTTTATAAAACTTTCAGGATTATTGTTTTGGTAATGGTGAGTAATTGTTACCGATTCGGTAACAGTCAGGAGAATTTCTAGGTTGGGCCTAGATTTTCCATGAAGACCTGGATATCCTCTTGATTCGAGGTATCTAGTTTTGATAGACCAATCATCATTTGGATTTATCTTCATATCTTCATCATCAATATACATGATTTTTTCAGTTACTGGATTTTTAAAATAATCCATTTGTTCTTGAGGTGGGTTATTAACCGCAACTTCCTTGTAGGATGTAGTTTTATTAGAGGAAGAGGAAGCAATATCTTCCTTTTTTGCTGAAGATGCAGGTAATTGCTGCATTTTTCTACCTTTGTAGACAGTAGTCCAATCCCCTATTAGAGGAATATTTAATTATGGCTGGGGTAACATATTGTTACTCCCTCTCCCACCACAGCCATAACCGCGGCCTCTATCCCGATATGGGGTCATCATTTTTTCTCTGCAAAAATTCACGAGTTAAATAATCAGCAAGTGAATTATTTTCACCTTTAATGTGTTGAATATCAAATTCAAACATAGATAATTATGATTGCCAACTAGCAAAAATTTGCTTAGCAACAAGATTTTTAACATCTTTTTCAATAATTGATTTAGCTGAGCTACAATCAATTTTTAATAAATTTTTTTTATTAAGAAGATCATCTTGAAATTTTGAAATGCATTTTATAATAGAAAGCATCTCTTTCTTGATAGTTGAATATTTTGCTTGTGTTGGATTCCATTTTCCAGAAGTAAATCTAACCAAAACTTCTTTTGATGTTTCAGGTATTATTTGTTTAAGGATTCCTCCATAGCCTAAGTCTGAAGCATCAGTTTCAACAATTTTGAAATACTTAGGATTAGCAAGAGATAAACAAGGCAAAAATTTCACCTTATTTTTAATTCTTTGGACTGCCTGAGAATGTTTTTCAGTCCAAGGGCTAGGATTCTTTTTAAGCCTAGCATGTAATATTGTTGTATCTTTAGCAAGATTTTCATAATAATCTGCTATGTAATTGAGGCTACCAAGAAACCTTGTAATTGTTTCTTATCTGTAATAATATCAGGGAATTTAGAAGCAAATTCAATACTTCTTTGTATAGGAATTATAGTTCCTTGGTCAATCTCATGTCCTAAAAATCTAACCCTTGTTTAAAAATGTTTCATCTTAGGACCAAATATTACTAATCCATTATGCTTAATTAATCCTTTGAATATTTTCAAATGTTTAATATGTTGATCTATAGTTTTTGAAAAAACTAAAACATCATAAATATAAACAATTATAAACTCCGTATAAGGATTAAAAATATCATTCATAATATTTTGAAATTCAGAAGGGGAATTTTTAAGACCAAAAGGAAGGACATTTCATTCATAATGTCCAAAAGGTACGGTAAATGTTGTTTTATACTTATCAGATTCATTAATCTGAATTTTCCAATAACCAGATTTCATATCAAATTTAGAGAAGATTAAAGCATTGTTTAATCTATCTAAAAGATCTTTTTTATTAGGAATAGGATATCTAATCCATTTAAACACTTTATTAAGTGGTTTGTAATTAATAACGAGTCTAGGAACTCCACGTTCCTTTTCTGCAGCATTATTGACATAAAAGGTTGTGCAACTCCAAGGAGATTTGACTTTTCTTATTAATTTTTTCTTCAAAAGAGATTCTATTTCTCTTTTGCATAAATCCAAATACTCATGATTCATTTGAGCAGGCCTAGCTTTAGTGGAAATCTGACTTTCATTAAAGTCATCAAGATAAGTTAAAGAAATAACATGTTTTTTTTCTATCCCAAAAAGCATTAGGTAAATCATTGCATATTTCATCTCTAAACTGTTGATCAATTAATTTAATTTGATTTTGAATTTCAGGTTTTTTAAGTTGAGAAGTGATGTTTAATAAACCCACTTCTTCTTTAAGAAAACAAATTTGTTTTTATTTTTTAAGAAGAATATCTTTAACTTCATTAATCATCCTAGTATGAGGATCAGTAATAAATTTAAAGATAATTCTTTTATTATTGATGATGGAAGTAAATCCCTTTTGATCAACATTAATCAAAGGCATTATTTTATGCAGAAAGGGAGTTCCTAATATAATTCTATGAGTTAAATTTTTTTACAAGAATGAAATGAGTAGGTAAACAAATATCTTTGTTACAAAGATAAGCATTAGACAGTTTATAATTAACCATGAGTTTATCTCCTCCAACTTGGGTAAGAGATTGGGTAGTTTTATCAAAATATTTAGTAGGAATAATTCCCTCTTGAAGGCAGTTTAAATCAGCGCCACTATCAATAAGGGCAACTTCATTTTCTAATATGAAATTTCTATTAATAACTAAAGTTATTCTAACAAACCATTTTTGAGAGGTCACTCTATCAATGAGAGAAAGGAAACCATCACTAGGTGAAGGATTACTAGTTGAAGCTATTTCTTCAACCTTTGAATTATTGGATTCTAAAAAAGTGACTCTTTGAGATAAACCATAGTTTTCTTTTTTAATCTGAGATATCTCATTTTTTAAGAGGTTTATTTCTCTATTTAAATCCATAATAGAAACGTGAGTTTCACGGATGTTAGACTGTCTAAATCTAGATAAAACCTCACTTAATTGGTAAGGTGCTTCTGTAATAATGGGAAACTCTCTTTTAGAGTTTTCTTGTATTAAAACTTCAAGCATTTTTCTTTTTAGTTTTTTATCAGAAATGGATTCTATAGCTTTTATGGCTTCGTCCTGTTCTGAGGTTAAAACATTTAACACATTCATCTCAACAATTGATTTCCAATAATCTAATTGACTACATTGACAATCATTATTGTCAGAATATTCAGAAGAGGAATCAGTAGAGGGTTTATAGATCATATTAATATCTTCTTCTGAAGAATAATTTTCAGAATCAGAATTGAGAAGTAGAACTTTCTCTAATTGAGAATGTAATTGTTCATCTTCTATCTCATTAAGAGCTTTTTTTAGTCCAGCATTGGTTGGCATAATGGCCAGGTTTGCCACATTTATGACATGTTATGTCAAGCCTTTTGGCTTTTCTTTTACCTTTAGGGTCAAAAGATTTTTCTTTAGGTCTACCCTTATTGTAGTGACCCTTTTTCTTATTCTTATAAGAATTTTTATAAGAATTTTTTGGGTTATCCCTATAAGGTTTATTGCGGAAAATTTTTCCTTTTTTCTTTTTATTATCTGGAGATTTTCCAAGATCAAAAGCAAATTATTCGCAAAATTCACCAAGTTGGTGTTTCTCAGAAAGCTTTTGCTTTTTAAGTTGATTTCTAAGCTTTATATCATTACATAAAGTTAATCATTCATTAACACAAGTACTAATTATTTGACCATAAGTAAGGTCAGAATAATTTATATTTATTCCATCATTTTTTGTTTTAAAGATTGTCTAACCTTTTCAGAAAAGAAATGGGGTAATCCATCAATAAATTTTGCTTTCGAGTGCAAAGAATTGGGATTGCTTAATTGATAAACTCTTGAAAGAAAAGTATCCTTATATCATATAAAGTGGGTAAGAGAAGGACGCCTAAGGTTTTGGAGAAGTGTCTGAATTTTTTCTCCAATGGGGACATTGGTTCTTACAAAATGTTGTAAGATGGAAAGACACAGTGTATACACTGCATCTTCTTCTCCTGTGGGGGTCGTAGCCACAATAGTGCTCGTACTAGTTCTTGGTTCGTTCTTAACGATTTTTTTGTGATTAAGAATCTCTAATTTTTGAGATTCAGTGAGATAATGATCCCACCAACCTCTAAGTTGGCCAACAAATCCTGTTGCTATAAAGGATGCTATTGAACTATCAGAATTTCCATGTTGCTTGCAAACAGTAGAGTACATGATCATCCTATGGATTGTATCTATAATTTGTTTGTCATTAAGACCATCAACATTTCATTCATAAATGACTTTTCCTGAATAAGAATTCTGGAAAGGTTCTGATTCCACAAAAAGCAAATCTTGCAGTGAGGGACGCTTGTAATAATACTTTTATATAGGTCTTGGGGGAATAAACAGGGTTTATATTATTAGTATTATTAATACTATTAGTATTATTAATATCAAGGTTACTAATGTCTAAATTAGCAAACATATCAAAAATCAATATGGTTATCATTATTATCCTTAGAATAATCTTCATGGGACATGACAGTGATATTAAGTCCTTTTAATTTTTGTTCTAAAATACGAACAAATTCTTCTCCATTGGTTTCCATTTTAAATCCTTCTATGGAAACTGGAGGTTGCACTATAGGAACATCCGAAATAGTGGATGTGGATATTTGGTCTTTAGGTTTATTTATGTGGTCAATAATGATATTTTGACGCTCTATTTGTTTTTCTAAAAGATCTTTTATGGATAAGAGATCTTTTTCCATGGAGATAAATTGTTCTCCTAAGAAAACAAGGTAAGCATTGGTATAATTTTGAGACCTGATGACTGAATTTAATTCCTTAAGAGTAACTTGACTTTGTTCAACTCTTTGTAATGGAAGGCTAAGGTAAGGAGTAACTTCAGTATTTTGACTCAAACTTATTGTTTGTTCAGGGGGAAAAGGAGATTCCATTATTTCTCCTCTAATATTTTCCCAAGGTCTTTGTAGCACAAGAATTTCTTCTTGTTTTTTATTTATGAAGTAATTAACGAGCCATTTAACAAAAGGAATGAAATCCTGCTCAAGGTTCATTTGAGTGTAATATTTATCTTTAAATTGGGCTAATTCAGGTTTTGAAAATTTAAAAAAAAAACAATTTCTAGATTGAGCGTATCTCTCATGTTGAAACTCATCATTGATGAGTTGTCTCATCTTACTACCAGGGGAGTAATTTATCATTATAAATGGAAATCCATATCTGACTGAGTAGGTGATTCTACTCTTGGAGTATGAGGTTTTTGATAAATGCCATGGGGAACTCTATTTTCGCTTAGTCTTATATTCTTAACGGTCTCTATTTCTTCTCTTATTTGAGAAGTAGAAGGTCTAGGTAATTGACTAGGAGCTGTATAACATTCACTAGTTGAGTGCCTAGCAGATAGAGACCTGGGTATTCTAGTTATTCTTTTTGAAGTGAAGTTTATTTCCAAATCTCCTTCAGTAGTCTAAATAATTTGGTCTATATCCCTATTAAGGATAGATTCAGGATCTATTTCCTGGGGGAGAGACCATGTCTCTAGGAAGTTTATTTCATCCCACTTTATTAACCTATTGGTTGCAACATTGGATGTTAATTAATTTGTTTGAACCAAAGTAGTCGTTCCAGGAAATGATAAATGCTTTGCTTTAGGATTAAGCGTAGTAAGAACCTTATAGTAGATTCAATAGCATATTGCTATGATTTCACTTCCAGGTTAAATATTGTAACCATTAATATGAACTGTTAATTGCATAGCATCTAATAAATTTTTATCAGATAAAGATAGATTTAAATTAGGTGAGACATCAAAGTAAACTGGTCTATGACACAGACTTATCTCAACCATAGCAGCTAAAGATTGTTTGAAATCTTTACATCTACCATCTCTAACATAAGCCATTATGCTAGAATTTAAACCTAATAATGTTAAAGGTTTTAAAGCAATTTGAACCAATCCAATATGGATAAAATTATAATTTTTAAAAGGTTTCAAATCTTTTTTAGTTAACAGATTTATTGTCTGAGTTTCTTTAGAAATTTGAATCGTTTGCTCTAAAGTTTTAACAGAAAAACGAGAAAAAACATCTATCTATCCAAATCTATAAATTTGATTAGAAGAAACTGAGGGTATAACGCATCTGTTGAGTTTATCCATATTTTTTGGATATTCAACTAATTCTTCATTTTTTATTAAATTATTTTGATGATTATCATCATCAGAGTCCATAAAGCAGCAGACTAAGAATGTTGTGATTGGTTGATACGCAAAGTTAAATCTAAATAGATAACTTGGAATCATAACATAATGTTAACTGAAACAACAACCAATTAAAAGTCATCTAAGTAAACAACAAATTGTTTAACTATTAACTCGAAGGGATTGAAGGATTTGTCCCAAATCAAAGATGTCAAAATGTTTTTAGCAAAAATTTTCTTTTTTGAAATCATCAACAACTCCCTTTCCTGGGAAAAAAAGATGAATGTGAGAGAAAACACTAAAAACACTTTTTAGTTTTTATTTAAAAACACTTCGATAAGGTTGTTTGCTTGTTAATAAAATGTTATGAGAAAAAGTTACCTACTTAGTTTTGTCTAAGCATAATCAACCTCTCAAAACATAAATTTAGCCACTAATTTTCATAATAAATTATGCAAAGAAGAAATATACCTTAGATTTGGTAAGCCCAGGCTCTGATACCAAAGTTTGTATATAGCAGAAGCAGGATCGAAATAGTTTGAGTAAAAAGGAGTATAGAAGATGGTAGAGACGATATATATATATATATATATATATATATATATATATATATATATATATATATATATATAAGAAAGCAGGAGAAGACACTATCAACCAAAGTACAGGGCATCTAAAATACGACACAAGGAGTGTCAATCTCGAAAAAATAAAAACAATAAAACACAAGAACAGAAACAATAAAAGTAGATCCAATCACCCAGCGAAGGGATCATAACCCATAAGAAAAAGAACGAAAAATCAAAATTCAAATAAACTTAGATTTTTTCAATCCAAGAACACCTGTAAAAGCAAAGAACCCACAAAAAACCAACAAGAACACATCTAAATGGAGACCGAAGCCACTCACCCCCGCTATTAGCTTAAAATCAAGATAGAATTTTCAAGTTAGACTGAGAAGGTACAAGAGTTCCTCACAAACCTGCCAAGATACCATCCAAGCCAAAACAATGCTCATGTCTTCCACGTTTTTAGATGTCACCGAAGAACCTGAAAAATTATATCATTCCTAGATTTCCAAATTGACCAGACCACGACATGCCAAATCATCTTTAGCCCCTATAGTCCTAGAACCTCCATCCAAAGGACTAAAAATATGGAAAAAAAAGTCAATACATCTCTAGGTAAGGCAACACACCACCCCAACCAGTTAAAAATCCTATATCTAACAGTGGATGCAACCTCAGAAGTCACAAAGAGATGAGAGGGCAACTCAATGACTAAAAAACAAAAGGTGCAGGAAATCGTCCCAGATGTCAGATGGATTCCTCTCTTAAGTAAGTTATTTATGGTAGGGATGCGATCATGAAGAAGTTTCTAAGAGAAAACTATAACTTTAAAGGGAGCCCAACTACACCAAATAGACGGAAGGACAAACTAAATAGGAGGGACCTGCTGACCTGGGGGAAACTGATGGGATAAAAGACAATGGTAAGCAAAAGTCACAGAATATGCATCATCACTCGACTCGTGCCACCTCCACACATCACTCTCAGACAACGGTCTAAAGCCACTGATCGCTTACTGAAGGTCGCTAAAAAGATCCAACTCATATTAAAAAAGAAAGGGTCTCCGCCACCTGAAGTCCCAAATCCATCTCTCAGCCTCCCATTTACCTACCTCCCTTACAGATTTAAAAGCCTGATCAAAAATAGAAAATAGTCTAAGGAACTTAAGACAAATGGGAGTATTCCCAACCTAAAGATCATCCTAGAAGGAGGTAAGGAGTCAATGTCTAACTTTAAGGGAGAGGTTATCCCTGAACTAGTCAGAAGTGTCATCATCTTTACCTCTAAGAAGGGGTACCCCTCTTCACCAAGACGAGGCCAATCGAAGACAATTGGATCTCCCGATCGAGATGGAAGACATAAAGGCTAGCTCATACCTGGCCATGAGGATATCTCTCCAAGTACCAAAAGCACCTGAGCGGAGGCGCCACCTCCACTTGCCCAAAAGGGTCAACTTGACCAACCGAAGGTCACGAACCCCAAGGCCCACAACCTTCTTAGGATTTCACACATCCACCCACTTGACCTAGGAAATTTTTTACACCCCTTTCACTCCACCCCAAAGAAACCTCTTATGAATCATCATTATCTTCTTCCAAATCTTGATAGACATATTTTAGAAAGATAAGAAAAATATAGAAATATCATTAAGAACCGAGTTAAGGAGGATCACTATCCCACCCAATGGGACATACATATTCTTCCACGAAAGAAGCCTACTAGATAGAATATTAACTAGAGGTTCTCACGTAGATGCTAGGCGGGGATTAGCTCTGACTAGGAGCCCAAAGTACTTAAAAGCAAGGAATCCCTTCTTAAAGTGGAGAAATTCACAAGAATAATCTAAGAAGGCCTAATCATAATTCACCCCGATGAGATAAATTTCCCAATTTGGTGATCACTTTCCTAAACTTTTGTCCTTTCAATCCATAGGCAAAATAACTTTCCACACATGATCCCCAACTATAAAGGTTTTTGACTTAACCTTTTTATGGTAGGTCTTAGCTATTCGTTCCTTTTTTTCATATAAAAACGTCTAAAGCCGCCAACCCCTCTTCATCTAAGTCGATTAACTTATCTAACATCATACTCTAATAGTGTTTAAAAGGCAATTCAGCTCGCCTATGTATCCTTGTTGTTTGCAAATATATTTTGATAGGAAATCTGTGTCTTGACCAAACATCAGTCAAAATGGAGTAGAGTTAGTTGCCTCTCTAGAAGAAGTTCGATAAGACCGAAGTGCTTCTTCCAAAGTCTTATGCCAATTTCTTGGATTATGTCCTACATATTGTTTAATCGGGCCTATTATAATTTTATTGGCCGCTTCGAATTGACCATTTTCCAGAGCATAATAAGGCATAGATGTTAAGAGTTTGATCTTTGGTTATGAGGAAAACTCACCCATCTTTCGACCAATGAAAACCATACCTTGATCAGTGGTCAATGTTTTTGAATTCCAAACCTACGCATAATATGGGTTTGAATGAAATTAATCACTACTTCCTGGCCCATTTTTACCAAAGGAATATCTTCAACCCACTTGGTAAAATAATTTATTCTAACCAAAATGTATTTATGGCATTTGGATGATTTAGGTCAAATTTCACCAATTAAATCTAAATCCCAACCTCTAAATGTCCAAGGTTTGACAATCAAATGCAATTCACTTGTATGGACATGTTGAATTCTTGGCAGCCTTTGGCAAATTCTATACAGTCTTTCAGCATAGATGGCCAGTATACCCCTTGTCGAAACAAAAGCCATTTTATTTTGTGTAATGCTTGATGAGCGCCACATGATCAACTATGGACATAAAAAACTATCAAATATATTTCACTTTCATTAAGGCATTTAAGTAAAATTCCTTTAGGAGTCTTTTTGAACAACTCATCCAACTCAATGCCTTGCATTTGATCTTTCAATATGTTGTTCTCGTTGAGTTTTGAAAATATATTTTATGTTGTTATAGCATTATGAAAATTTTAAATAGAATAATGATTAACACTCTTTTATCATTCTATACAAAATCATTCTTTCAAAAAATGTCAAATATTTTCCTATATTATTTTAAAACTTCGCTTTTGGAAGTCTTCCCCTCCCATCTCCTCCAAACTCCTAAAAAAAGCCTAAAGCATTCCTTGATCTGTTGATTAGAGAGAGCTAATCAAAACCCTAAAATCGACGAAGAAAGGCTTGAAAGAGCCCTAAAAGAGAATTGTGTATAGCTAATTTTCGATATATGGATGAAAAAGAGGTAATATATCGACATTATTTTTGAAACGAGAGA